GATTTTCAGGAATATACTTCTTTAGTACTCAGAGATGTTTATTTTAACTGCCAAACTATAGGAAATTATCAACCTATATTCAAGGCAGGCACCAAGCAACGTCTTGTTAATGTGAACTCTTAAGAGAAACAGAAACTAGAGTATTTTCATACAATTTTAAACTCATAGCAGGAAGATGTTTTTTTAAAAAGTAAAATTCTTTCTCAAGAGATCTTTATTTCCTGGTGTGGTTCAGGACAGCACTGTTTTGGAAATGCTGACGCGACCGTAGCAAAGGCTTCCAGAGGGAAACATATACTAAGTTTATTTATCTTGGAAACCACAAGAAGAACATTGTGAAACCTCCGAACTGGCCCTGTAAAATGTGTTACTAACATGTACAGTATGATTGCTCGGTTTGGATAAAGTCAAGTCGTTTCTGTGCTGACAAAGAAGATCTACAAACTCTATTCTGTCGTGTCCAGCATTTATGTCTACAGCCTGGGCCCTCACCAGAAACTCTAAAGTCCTACATCTAAGTTCTCCTTGAAAACTGCCTGGAGTGAATACGTATCTTCACGTGAACAGATCACCAACCAGGCTTCAGTGCGTACATTTTCCATCTCATCTTCCTCAGTCTTTACCATCTTAGCACGTGGGGATTTCATCCTTCTGCTGGCTCAGGCCAACATTTTCAGAAGCATCTCTTTCTCCGTTATGTCTTCCTCATGCCTTTTCTGAAGGCTCAGCCATCACGTTCTTTCTATCTCTGAAACCCTTCCGTAAACCTATGCCTCCTCGACACTCCTTGCCTTTCTGGTCAAAGTCACCATTGCACTCTTGTTTGCGTTTTTCAGTAGAAACCCCTGCTTAGCCCATGCTGTCCCTCTGCAGTCTTGGTAGCCAGAGCACAGTCATGCCTCTAAGATGTCTTCAATACCTTTCATCTTGCTCAGAGTAAAAGCTATGATTTCAAACTGCCTAAGAAACACTAGCAGATTTGCTTTTATTATTTCTCTGAACTCATACAAATCTTGTTTCTCCTTGCTTGTTTTATTGTCCTCAGATTTTCCCTCTCTGCTGTTACTGCAACTTTTCTTGCTGCTTTGACCCCTATGCCTGTGTTCAAATGTCCCTTCTATTGGAAAGATCCTTCTTCAACCATTTTGCCTAAACATTAAGTTCACTTTGTCTCATTCCTCATTCCTCAGTCCTATTTTACTTTCTCTCTCCTTGAGGTGAGATGCCTTGGAATGTCTCCAACTTCTTAACTGTGCAGTACGTAAGGCTAAGAAAATATTCATTACTATGTCTATTCATTACTAGATCATCAATACCACCAATAACTATTCATTGAATGAATGAAGTAATATATACTGTTAGACCCATTAAGTTAGGAAAAATTGGTTGGATTGTTTAAGTATTTTGAGTATATTTTTAAGTTGATTTGTAGTGCCGCACTTATTGTTGGTGACCTGGAACTGTAAACAGGACTCTCATAGTTTATTGAAGTGTCCTGGGGAGAAAGTCTCCTGACCCCTAAGGCCTAACACATTTCTGGGGTTGTGCCCTTGAGGGGCATCTTACCCATTCCTTTTCTGATGTCTGGCAGGAGAGATATATGGCTTTTCTTTTTCTTCATATTATTGAACTTCATGGAAGCTTGTTTTACTTGGAAGGTTGTTTATAATGGTATGTGAGTTTAATGAGTTTAGTGTTTTCCTTTTCTTGATCTTACTGCTACAGCAGCTCTGCAAACTATAATTCCTGTGCTGTGGGATATTAGAATTTGAAGGACAACGAGATCTTGTAAAGAATTCAGTGTACGTGTGGGGAATGACTTGGACCAGAACTGGCTGACACTGGGTGAATGAGAAATGGCTGAATAAAATGTTTTCGGTTTATTTGAGGGGTTAGGCATTTCTTCATTCTCATGAAGATGATGCTATCCTGCATCTACAGCAGCAATAAAACCTGGGGATGAAGGATTTTACTGTACCAGTATCATGGACAAGAGAGAAAGAAAAAAAAAATTTAAAAAGGATAATGGGAATGATTCAGAAAAATGAAAAAGCAAAGCAGAGACCCATTTTATATTTGTTTTGTGTGATAAGAATGACATAGGAAAATGGAATATGTAAAGATGCAAATTTCCAAAGCTGAATGTCATTATATTGTATACCTTCAATGTACCAATAAAATTATTTTTTAAAAAATAAATAAATTATAAAAAAGGATTTCATAGTAATGTTCAATGCCAGATCAGTATTATGTTTTAGGAAATCACATATAATCCTACAAAAGTTTAAATAACATTAAAACAAAATAAATACGTTTATAGAGGAAAATGGACGTCAGTGGTTCATTTGAAAATTTGATTTGCATCTCTCTGAAAAGATGTTCAAGTTGTAACTCCTAGTACCTGCGAATGTGACTTCATTTGGAAATTGGTCTTGCAGATGTAATCAAGGTAGAGAAGGCTCGTATTAAATAGAAGTGAATCTGAATGCCACATAGCTGTGTCCTGTGAGCAGAGGAGTGGAGACACAGACACATGGGAGAGGACAGTTGTGTGTAAACAGCAGCAGAGATGTGGGCCATCCTCCCACGCGGCTGGGAAATCCTGGAGATACACAGCAGCGCAGGAAGCAAGGACTCGTCCTCTCAGAAGTTTGGGAAGAGCATGGATATCTGTGTTAGTCAGGTTTTCATCTCTGTAACTCTAATACCTAAGATAATCAATTTTTAAAAAAGAAAAATTAGCTGAGCATGGTGGTGCATGCCTATAATCCCAGTGCTGGAAAGTTTGAAACCAGCCTGGACTACATAGTGAGTTCCAGGTCAGTCTCAACTACATAGTGAGCCCCTGTCTCAAAAAAAAAAAAATAAAATAAAATAAAATAAATAAATAGTTTATTTTTTGCTCACAGTTTAGCAAATTGTAATGTTTAGATTTATTTTTCCAGAATTTGTAACCATAAAACATCCACATTTATATTAAAAAGCCTGTTTTTAAATGTCTGTTTCTAAGTAAAAATGTATTACTCAAAACTCTGAATCAGACGATCCTCCAGGCTATTTGTTCATTTTGATAGCTGTTTCCAAACCCTAAGGCAATTTTTTAATTCATAAAGCAATTAATGTTTCTTATAAATCTAATAATTATAGAAATTCTCAGGTAAGCAGCATGA